ACGTAGTGACTGTCCAGTTTGGCCAATGTATATAGCAGAGGGGCATTGCTGGCACATGATGGCATATATAACATTGGTGAATGTGCAGGTGAATGAACTGGTGATGTTGTAGCTGATCTGGTTAGGTCCTGTGATGGTGTTGCTGGTGTAGATATGTGGGCAGAGTTGGCATTGAGGTTTGTTGCATGGATTGGTTCCTGAGTTAGAGTTGTTATGGTGTGGTGCATGGTTGCTGGTGAGAATATGCTTAAGGTTGGCGGGTTGTCTGTGGGTGAGGACTGGTCTGCCTCCCAAGATCTGTGAAAGCGAGGGATCATTGTCCAGGATGGGTTGTAGATCACTGATGATGCGTTGGAGAGGTTTAAACTGAGGACTGTAGGTGATGGCCAGTGGAGTTCTGTTGGTTTCTTTCTTGGGCTTGTCTTGTAACAGGAGGCTTCTGGGTACACGTCTGGCTCTGTTGATTTGTTTCCTTATTTCCTTGTGTGGGTATCGTAGTTTTGAGAATGCTTGGTGAAGGTCTTGTAGGTGTTGGTCTCTGTCTGAGGGGTTGGAAATAAAGTGTAAAAATGTCATTTTAAAGGGGAATCATCACTGAGCTGTTGTTTTTCTTGTGAGGTCCTGCAGGGATTGGTTCTTGGCTCTATGCTATTTAGCATTTTTACCAACGATCTGGAAGAAAAAATAAAATCCTCATTGATAAAGTTTGCAAGTAAAACCAATATTGTGAGAGTGATAAATAATCAAGAGGGCAGGACACTGATAGAGTGCTCTGGGTCACTTGGTTAAGATGGGCACAAGCAAATAATATGCATTTCAATATAGACAAATGTAAGGTCATACATTTAGGAACAAAGAATGCACACCAGAATTACAGGATTGGAGACTCTATCCTGGGAAGCAATGACTGAAAAAGACTTTGGGATCATGCTGAATGTGAGCTCTCAGTGCAAAGCTGTGGCCAAAAGGGCTAATGCAATGCTTGGATGTATAAACATGGGAATCTTGAGGAAGTTTAGAGAGGGGTGATGTTGCCTCTGTATTTGGCAATATCACTGGTGTGACTGCTGCTGGAACACTGGGTCCAGTTCTGGTGCCCACAATTCAAGAAGGATGTTGATAAATTCGAGAGGGCTCAAAGGAAAGTCACAAGAATGACGAAAGGATTGGAAAACATACCTTATAGTGACAGATTCAAGGAACAATTTACCAGGATTGTGGTAGATTCTCCATCTATGGCAATTTAAAAATCAAGATTGGATGTTTTTCTAATATATATGGTCTAGTTCAACCAGAGCTATTGGATCTGAAGCAGGAATTAATTCAGCGAAGACCTATGGATATACAGAAGTTTAGACTAGATGATTATAAGGGGACTACATGGTCCCTTCTGGTCTTGAAATCTATGGGTATAGTTACACTGCAATGTAAGCCCAGGGTTAGTAGAACTTGAGTTAGCAGACACTGGGTTTGTTAACACAGGGCTTGAGCATTTCTACCTATTTGTAACTCCAGATTTGGAATTGTTGAACCCTGAGTCCCAACCTGGCGCGCCGGCATCTAAACTGCATCATGCTGGCCTGAGTTGAACTATCTAGATCCCAGACTTCCTAGAGCCCTCCCAAAATGCACCACTTGTTCGTGGTGAAGTGTGGGAAAATTTGACTCTTCACCAAACTTGACTGTCAAGAGGACAAAGAAAGCCTGTGGAACTGTGGGATACTTTTGTCAGGCTCCCAGAGCATGATTCTAGTAGGGTTGTGCCCATACTGCAGAGCAGAAGGGCTTGAACACTGCGTCCCAGCTTGACTCAGGGTCAAATCCTCAAACCATGGGGTTGAAGCTCTGGGTTAGCGTGATTTGTATGTAGCTGGAAGGAGGATTAGGCTTGAGCCTGAGTTTGAACCCTGGGTTTACATTGCAGTGTAGAAATGCCCTATGAATATTTCCATTATGGGTGATTATTTTTAAATAGAAAATTCTAAATGACTGTTACTGTAACTGTATAAATATCTTTCCTTTCAGAATTCCACTACTGTGCAATGAAAGGAATCTTCATTCCTGGGAACTGAAACTGGTGGATTATTCCTGGCTTCCTTGATGATTATAAAATGGAGCCCCTATCATTCAAAGTTAAAAAACTTCAAGCACCCACTGATATCTCAGTGGATTTTAGTCTCCAGCTTGTTGGTTCTCTGCCAGTGCATTCTCTAATCACCATGCCAATGCTGCCTTGGATTGTGGCAGAGATTCGGCGGCTCAGTATGCAGTCTTCCATGGAAGAACCTAGCACCAGCCAAATCCGGCTTTATGTTTCACCAGTAAGCCTGCGATGTGAACCAGACACAGGAAAGAGCCAACAGTGGGATCCTTTGATTTGTTCCAGCCTGTTTGAGTATAAGCCACAGCATGTCCTCAAACTGATTCACAATAGCCATGATCCAAGTTACTTTGCTTGTCTGATAAAGGATGGAGCAGTAAATCAGCAAAGTATCTGTTATGTATTCAGAGCTGCTGATCCAACAAAAGTAAGTAAAAAAGCAATTCTCAGAGCTTGCTTCGCTCCATGAGATATTAGAAGCTGATTTATAGGGCATGATGTAAATGCACAAGAGAAGTTAATACTGTGTATTTCAAAATGAGGTAGCTTTTCTGATCTTTGGATCTTTTCATTACAGTCTGAGTTCTTGAAACTCTTTTTACAAAGTAAGACCTGTCTTGCAAAGACTTAACACATGGGCTGAACTTTACACACTCTCAGTTTTACTATGTGAAGTTACCCCCCGTGTCAATCTTTGCAGGATCGGGGCTTAGTTTACAATAAGCTAGTGATATGAGCTGAAATCCTGGCCCCGTTGAAGTCAGTGGGAATTTTTCTATTGATGTCAGCGGGGCTAGGATTTCACCCATAAACTTCCCTGGACCTTCTCTAATCCTACATTATATGAGTAGCTTGTGTTCCCTCTGAGAAGGATGCTAAAAATAGGCATCCAATTCTGCTCTTCTGATCCAAGTGAGTAATCTGCTAAAGCCACATTCTCACATGAATAAGGTGAGTAAAACTGGGCATTAGGTTTCTGCAGCTGACCAGTAATGTTTAGTGGGCAAAGCAGCGGTGCCATTGAGGTATAAGTTGTAGTTATTAATATTGGAGGCAGAGCTCACATTGGTCCAAATTCTTTATGCCCTACTCACGAGAGTAGCCCCACTGAAGCACCTCAGAGGGACTGTTTGCATGTGTACAGCTGATCGGATTGATTTATGTACTTACAGTTACCTGCTCTGGAGCAAGACAGGGTATAACACCAAACTCATGGTGCCTGGCTCAGAGCTGGGTACCTGGTTATGGACACAGCTTTAATTAAATTCCCCCAAGATAAAAAGGCAGCTAAGTAAACTAACAGCCAAATAGGACTTAAATCACAAGCACTTAAGTGAGAAAATACTGTCAAATTAAAAATGGCCTACTCAATAAGATGTAAGATTTATGCATTTAAGGGTGGGGAGTAGATGTTTTAGGACTTGGCACTGAGAAGAAAGAAGCTGTTAAATATGTACTTATGTACTTCATTGTGTGGGTTGTGGTTTTGTTAGGATCATGGTTAATAAACAACTTTGATCACCTCCAGTACAATTTCTTCTGTAACAACAGAGTGAAAAGCAAAGTACTATTTCCACTTGCTTGATCAGACTTCTGGAGCTGTTTGAAATAAGAGAGAGGGGGAAATATAAAGATTTGGGTTTACAGTTTCAACTGTATCCATAGATTTTGGATGTCAGTGTCTATGATCATTATTGTTTTAATTTGGAATTGCCTTATCTCTGTTTGTTCTCCTTTACAGCGTCCATTTATTCTGTCTCTGATGCATGTGTGTAACTCCCATTAACATTACTGAAAGTTGTGTATGCTTATCAAAGTGTGTGTGAGAGAGATATCTATGTATTGAGACAGCAGGGTACCCAGATTGGGAGCACAGCAGTGTCTAGGACGGGGTGAGCAAACTGTTGGGGCTGAGGGCCACATCTGGGTGGGGAAATTGTATGCAGGGCTGGGGCAGGGGGTTGGGGTGCAGGAGGGATGCGGAGTGCAGGAAGGGTGTGGGGTGCGGCGGGGGCTCAGGGCAGGGGGTTGGGGTACAGGAGGGGTGCGGGATGCGGCAGGGGGCTCAAGGCAGGGAGTTGGGGTGCGAGGTGCAGGCTTCAGGAAGCGCTGCGGCCCCTAGGGGAGGGGAGGGTGGAGGGCTCCGCATGCGCTGCCCTTGCCACGCCTCCAGGTACCTCCCCCGAAGCTCCCATTGGCCGGGGTACCCCATTTCCGGCCAATGGGAGATGCGGGGGCGGTGCCTGGAGGCAATGGCAATGCACAGAGCCCTCTGTCCCCCCGCCTGGGGGCCGCAGGGAAGTGGCGCCACAGGGGGCAATCCAAAGCCCTGAAGGGCCGGATCCGGCCCGCGGGCCATAGTCTTGGATCATTATTGTTTTAATTTGGAATTGCCTATCTCCATTTTGTTCTCCTATAGAAGAAACAAATATTAGAAGTCTAACTTCTGTGGACTGAGTGACTCAGCAGTCTCTTGCTCCAGTCCATTAGATCTCTTGTCCCAGAGGACTCCTTTTACTGCCTGAAACATTTGCTCTGAGGAATCAAACAGCAGTTTTCCATATTTAGATTGTGTTGGCATGGTCAGCTTCCTCTCTGTTGCTCCTAGGATGGACAAAAAATGTTCTGCATATTTTTTCTATTTGTGCTTGTTATTCAGAAAGGGACACAACAGTCCAAATTAGCTTGGTGACAGAGCTGAAATATTAAAACCTTGTTGTATATGAACCCCCCACAGAGCGGGTCTTGAACTTGCACTGGATTCACTATACTTATCACTTACACTTATACTTATACTTATATCAGTCCAGTCTTACTGAATAAAAGTTTAGAAGTTATGATCTCACCTTTGTGAAAAACTCAGGCATAATTTGGCTACGTTGGAGAAATTAAATCTCTTCATTGGGTCAAATATAACTTCTTAATATAGTGGTTGCAGCTATGGTAAACTTAATTACTTATTCTCAGTGTTACTTTTCATTACCCACCCCCCTCAGACTCTCTCCAAAATGTTGTAATAATTATATAGACATCTGATCTATTTTATAGGACAAGAGGTCTCCACGATTAAAATGTTATAAGATACAAGGTTCATAACCACTTGCATCTCTGTGGATGAATCTGGAAAAGGCTATGGCTGATGTAGATGGAATTCACATTAAGACAGGGCTCCTGTGCAAATTAGATTGAAAAACCAGTCTTGAATTACAACAAAAAATATATGGTTATGAGTTCACAAGCGGTATCAAATAGGGTTGCCACCCTTCTGGATTTTACCCAGATAGTCCAGTTTTTGGCTTCTGTGTCCAGGTGCTATTTAGGATTGCCAGGTGCCTGGTTTTTGACTGGAAAGTCCGGTTGAAAAGGGGACCTGGCAACCCTAAATGACACCTGAACCAAAAGTCTGGTTACTGCAGGGTGTGGGAGGCACTGGGTCATTGGAAAAAGGCAAATATAGGCCCATCTTTAAAAAAGGAAAGAAGGAGAGCCTGGGAACTACAGGCTGGTCAGCCTCACCTCAGTCCCTGGAAAAATCATGGAGTAGGTTCTCAAGGTTTTGAAGCATTTGGAGAAGAGGACGGTGATCAGGAACAATCGACATGGATTCACCAAGGGCAAGTCATGCCTGACCAACCTGATTGCCTTCTATGATGAGATAACTGGATATGGGGAAAGCAGTGGGCGTGATATATCTTGACTTTAGCAAAGCTTTTGATACGGTCTCCCACAGTATTCTTGCCAGCCAGTTAAAAAAGTATGAATTGGATGAATGGACTATAAGGTGGATAGAAAGCTGGCTAGATTGTCAGGCTCAACGGGTAGTGATCAATGGCTCGATGTCCAGTTGGCAGCCGGTATCAAGCGGAGTGCCCAAGGGGTTGGTCCTGGGGCCAGTTTTGTTCAACATCTTTATTAATGATCTGGATGATGGGATAGATTACACCCTCAGCAAGTTTGTGGATGACACTAAACTGGGGGGAGAGGTAGATACACTGGAGGGGAGGGACGGGATCCAGAGTGACCTAGACAAATTGGAGGATTGGGCCAAAAGAAATCTGATGTGGTTCAACAAGGACAAGTGCAGAGACCTGTACTTAGGATGGAAGAATTCCATGCACTGCTACAGGCTGGGGACTGACTGGCTGGCTAAGCAGCAGTTCTACAGAAAAGGACCTGGGGATTACAGTGGACAAGAAGCTGGATATGAGTCAGCAGAGTGCCCTTGTTGCCAAGAAGACTAATGGCATATTGGGCTGCCTTAGTAGGAGCATTGCCAGCAAATTGAGGAAAGTGATTATTCCCCTCTATTCGGCACTGGTGAGGCCACATCTGGAGTATTACATCCGGTTTTGGGACCCCACTACAGAAAGGATGTGGACAAATTGGAGAGAGTCCAGTGTAGTGCAATGAAAATTATCAGGGGATGGGCCACATGACTTGTTTTAGGGTGACCAGACGTCCCGATTTTATCGGGACTATCCCGATATTTGCTTGTTTGTCCCGCGTCCCGACCAATGTTAGGTCGGGACACTGGACAAACAAGCAAGGGCTCCGGAGCCCAGAAGGGCTCGCACCCCCCCGCCCCGACTCCGCCGCCTTTCCCCCATTGGCTCCCTCCCCAAATCCCCACCTCTTCCCCAAGCACGCCATTCCTCCTCCCTCCACAAGTGCTGGAGGGAGGCCCTGGAGACGCAGGGGGAGCAGGGGGCCGGGGTTAGTGAGTGTCCGGCCTGGCCCCAAGTGCAGGCAGGACTCAGTCTGCAAGACTCCGAGGGACAGTAGGGTGGCGGCCTGAGGGGCCAGGCGGCGGCTGTTCTCCCCACCTGGGCAATGGGACTCGGGAACAGCTGCTGCTCCAGCTCCTACTGCCGCGGCCGGAGGAAGCGGCCATGGCGCTTGGAAACCCCCCGAGCCCGGGCCTGCTGTGGGGTCCCAGCAGCATGCATGCTGCGCCCAGGCCCTGGCCAGTCGCGTGTGGGCTGGCTGCCCAGCTGGTGCAATACCGCGGCGGTCCCGGGGCGGAGGCATCAGCAGCCCAGCCCCGTTCATTCCCCGGAGGGACCCGAGCGGGACGGGGGGGCTGGGGCCTGCTGCCCCCACTCTGGGACCGCCCGCGGGATTGCACCAGCTGGGCAGCCAGCCCAGATGCGACTGGCCAGGGGCTGGGCGCAGCGTGCATGCTGCTGGGACCCCGCAGCAGGCCCGGGCTCTGGGAGTTCGGGCGCCAAAGCCGCAGACGCCGAGCGCCATGGCCGCTTCCTCCCGCCGTGGCAGTAGGAGCTGCAGCAGTGGCTGCTCTCGAGTCCTGCTGCCCAGGTGGGGAGAACAGCCGCCTCCCTACTCTTCCTCCAGGTACCGCCCGACTGAGTCCTGCCTGCACTTGGGACCAGGCCGGACTCTCACTCACCCCGGCCCCGCGCTCCCCCT